GCGGTGTCATCCCCGATGACATGCCCGATCTCCTCCCCACCAATCTCGTGCCCTGTCCTTCAGAAGACAGGATGCTAGTATGACCTTGCCCCCTCGGGACATCTGCTGGTGCGGAAAGCATTGGCGACATCCGCCAAGCACCTGGTACTCGCTATGGGGTCCCGAGCCCCATGATAATCAGGAGCTCCACAGGCTCTGAACTCCCTGAAGGTGAGCGTGCGCGACCCCATCATGGTCGCCACCTCAGCACGAAAGGTGCTCAACCTCTCATCCATCAGCTCCAAAATACCCTCCTTGATCGAACCAAAGATCACAGGAGTCTGCTCGAGTATGATGCGAGTAATCTCTGAAGAGAGAAACTCCCTAGTCTGATCATCCAAATGCTCGGCTCCCGAGCCTGGTCCTGATCCCTCACCGGCACCTGAACTGCCGACTGCTGGTCTAGGGCGTAAAACCACCATTCTGAAACACATAGCCAATGTTAGAAATACTGATATATCTCGAGGGATCACTATTACTACAAGTTTCCTGATTTCGCCTTGGCCTTCCTTGATTCAAGTACAGATCCTCTGCTTTCAGTAGTATGGGCCCCTACTACCTTCCACATCTATCTGTACCTTCCCCAAGAACTGCCTCGACTCCACCAAGTCCCTTCTACTACTACTGCTGATCTCATGCTAATCTCATCCTAGGCTAGCCCTAGGGTGATCACCAACCCACTCTCCACCATCTGCTACATAAGAAGTCCCCACTCTCTTCCCCTAACTAGCTCGTGAATACTATTACATATCACTCAGACTAGATAATTCTTCGAATGAGGGATCCTACCCTATAACGGTTAGACTCAAACAAGAGCTGCGAAATAGAGCTAGACCTAACATTCTGAAATTATTTAGTCCTTGCAATATGTAACTTAACATATTCGTTTACTAGTTAGTGAAAGACAACTAGAACTCCTAAAAGCACAAAGCAAGCAGCATTCGGGCATTGAGTACATAATCAAGCATATACCACTCTGGCTATCATACTGACTAGTCTGCACTAGCATACAATGCTAAGCTCATACTATCAGGCATAACCTAACCAGGCTATCCTACTGCTGTCTACTCAATACTAGCATGCAATCCTCATAAAGCTGAAACACATATAGCAGGCACATAAGGCATCATCCTAGATCCTTAGTCCTATTCTAGCATGATGTTCTAATGAAACTGAAACTGATAATCATAACATAAGCTTGTATGGGTAATTTGGGAGTACTTACTTGAGCTCGGCCGATCGCATGCACTACACCCCTTTTTAAGAAAACTCTTTTTCTTTCTAAGTTCTTTTCAAAATTTCTTTTAGAAAACGTTTCTCTTTTAAAAAATCTTCCACCATTCCCTTAGTTTGAGTTCAGACACACTCGAAAGTATGCTTGAATCCCTCAAACCAAGGCTCTGATACCAACTTGAAACAAACCAAAATACGACCCAAAATTTTTTGTTTTAATATTACTAAAATCACATCATCCAATGTCATATATAACAAGAACCATGTAATGAGTACTCAAAAGTCATAGTAACTGTGTCAAAACCAAAACTGTATCAATCACAACAAAATGTCTGAATAAAACTCCCAGGATAAAACTGAAGCTGTGGTGGGTGCGATGCCATCAACCCGAGCTCTTCCCTTTGCTAGCGGAAGTACCTGAAACCAAAACTAAAACTGTAAGCACGAAGCTTAGTGAGCTCCCCCAAACTACCACATACCATACAACAACATATAAACACGTATTGGGCCTTGCCCACTGCATCGGACCGGAGTCCGGAACTAACTAGGGCCTTGCCCTCTGCATCAGACTGAAGTCCGAAAACTGCATCGGACCGAGGTCCGGAACTAACCAGGGCCTTGCCCTCTGCATCAGACCGAAGTCCGGAAACTGCATCGGACCGAAGTCCGTGACTAACCAGGGCCTTGCCCTCTGCATCGGACCAAGTCCGGAAACTGACTGAACATAGCATAACATAATCATAACTACTGGCATAAACACATATACTGCATACTGCATCGGACCGAAGTCTGGAACACATAACACAAAGACTTGATTGAATCACAAAGACATCAAGCACACTGAACTACTGCATCGGACCGTAGTCCGGAACTACTGCTAACTAAACGGGTCGGCATTGTGGCCGTAGACCCGTTCCTACTGGAAGGAAACTCACCTCGTAACACTGGCTGCTGAGATACTAAATCTGAAACTGTTTGACTGCTGCTCCGGAACTCCCCGGCTGAATGAGAAACAGATGGAAGCTAACTCTTGGATCTCCTTTCTCTTCTATGGACCTTCTTTCCTTCCTTCCCTTCCAAAGCTTCCAAACTAGCACAAACACACTCAAGTTCCACAATGGGGGCTAGGGTTTACAGGGGAAATGCTCTAAAGGTGCTGGTGGCTGGGGTGGGAGGCTATAATGACATTTAAATAGGGTACAAACCCTTGAAATTAGGGCTTCATCCAGACAGGCAGACTCACCGAGTCCCAACATATGGACTCGCCGAGTAGCCAACTTAAATCGCGAGCTCATCCCGCTTCTACTCGACGAGTCGGGCTACAGACTCGTCGGGTACCCCTTAAGAAATGGAGATACTTTAATTAAAATTACATACCAGAAATGGGGCGTTATACACACAACCAAGACCATAACCACAAGCTTTTTTAGCCTAAATTAATACCAACACACCAAAATCAGCCCTGGTAGAGCCTAGTTAACCATCAGACCTGCATCCACCTTCAACCACCAACAACCCAACACATCGATTTTGACATTGAATAAGGTGTGGGGCTATTCGAATCAGAAAGAGAAGAGGAAATGGGGAGAAATACCTATGATCGAATCTAGAGAAGAATGAGAAACTGCGAATTTAGTGGTAGTGTGAGTGATTTTGAGAAGGAAAAAAAGTGTGGCTTGTGCGAATTGGTGATCTAAATCAAAAGAGGAAGAACCTTCAATCGATTTTGGAGAGTGAGAGACCTGCGGTTTTTTTTCTTGTTTCTTTGTTCCTGTCGATCGAAGAAGCAAACGGTGGTGAAGAGCAAAATCGAAGATGGTGTTGGAAATGGTGACCGTCGGAGACGGTTGCTGACGGTGGTGGTGGCTGGCTACACACATGTGATCGTGACTACTTTGTGTTAAGAAGAAGACCGTGTGGGATACCGACCATAGAAGGTAAAATTAGGATAAATGGCAAAATTGAACAAAGTTTTCGGTATTTGAGGCATCTGTGGCAAAAAAAAAAAAGGACTTTGGGCGTAACTTTTTTTTTTTTTTTTTGGTTAAAATTTGGGCTTTTATGTCAAAAATCCATAACAATATGACATCATGCATAAGCGACCGTACAACCCATTTTATTTTAAAATGGTATAACCCGTTAAGGAAAAGGGCCAGTCCAAGTTGTATAACTGGGCCTTGGCACATTTGTTGGACTATCTCTGTCAAAACGTTATCACAAATGTTTATTTCTAATGGTTTTAAGTGTTTAACTTATGGTGGCTACAAGTCACTGGATAGATTCATATATACATATAAAAAATAGATGACCAACTATAACAGATTAACAGTGCAAGCCAACTCTTATATCTAATGCACATCTCTTCTCATAAAAGCAATCATTGAAGAAGCAACCATTTACTACCCATATGGTTTTTAAAAATAGATGATGATGATGATGATGATGTTATTTACCAATACAATCCAATAAACGCTAGGTAATCGGCAAAGTGTGCAAGCCTTGAAATTTCCAATTGGTGATTGTAATTCAAAATCCAACAACAATGTCCCATTTTAGCTAGAAGTGACAAGCCTCGTTCAAATTTAAGATTCGGTTGTTTAAATTTCCCTTTCAACTCTATTTAGGTAGTTAATCAAGATTTAATGACAAAATTCAAGTACTAGATTCAGTTTCTAGTCTCTGTGTCAAACCCTTCAATGACATGCTCAATCTTCAAAAGTACACGAGACAAGATCAGATCAAAAAAAGGACCCGATGAACCTTTTTAGGGTTGTTATTGTTAATTAATCGTTGTGTCAAACCCTTCAATGACATGCTCAATCTTAAAAAATACACGAGATAAGATAAGATAAAAAGTGGACTCGATGAACTTTTTAGGGTTGTTATTGTTAATGAAGATGTGGAGAGTATTCATGTCTTTTGTAGAGACTGAGAGATCAATAACAAGTATCTATCATGCCTTCCATCTTTGAGTTTATCTTTGAGTTTTAGGGTGAGAATCTTTTTTTTTTAATTGTGTCACATTGATATTACTCTAGATGTAAGTCCATGCGAATCAATTTCATCTAAATTTACGATATATTAATACCAACCATTAAATACTTAGGTTATCTATTTAATTGAGAATGATTTGATGCATAAGATATATGATCAAAGATTGATAGTGGACATGTCAACAATCTTTAGGTGGTGATTAATACTTAAAAATAGTGTGTAATGTACAAACAGAACTTCAACAAAATGTGTAACTAGACATTTGGAAATCTGGTTACCAGTTTCAATTATTTACAATTAAAGCAAATATATTAAATATTAATGTCCGTTTAATTAGTAAGTGATAAGAATATGATAACTATACATATAATCTGTTTAACATTTGATCATAAGTTAACAATAAATGTTTGTTGAATATCTATCTTATATTAAAATTAAGTATTATTTTTACGATTTTATATTTACTTGATATTAGGTTTTTATCTAAACAAATCAAAGTTTACGATTTTTAAGTACTGTGATGCCGGCTTTTCAAAACTTCAAATTGTCCATTCTATATTTTCATTCGCAATTCACATTTCAAATCACATCAAATTCCATTATTACCCTCGTCATTGGAAAGAATACAGCGACCAACAAGGACAATATAGTAATTTCACCTTCTCGCAGGCGCAATATCCTTTTTAGCCTGCATATTTTGAGCGGAAAGTTTGTTTTTCTTCTCAACTTTCTCACAAATACAACATATCCAACAAACGCAAATCTCTCACTCAAACACACACCCACACACACACACTCTTCACCATGATCTCCGATCAAACTCGCCGGCAGAAGTCGCGGGAACGAGAAGTGAGCTCTCGGTATCTTTCACCCATCGCCACACCATCATCACTACCACAATCTCCAAACCATAACCATACTCTTTCTAACCCTAAACAATCATCATCAGCCAAACACAAACATACTGGATTTATTCGTGGACTATGGCCTTCTTCTACTTCCCACTCATCAAAATCACAGAAAGAAAATCCACCAAACACCACCGCCACCGCTGTCACAACTCTTTCCGATCACCTTGGTAACGAAAGAAAAGATGGTGTCAAAAGATCCGGATACTCGATGTTTCTTAGTAAACAAAAAAGTTGCAGGGAGTTCAGACGCTCGGAGAGCCATTCCAGTACAAAAAGCTCCTTCAAGGAGCAGCAAATGCACATTTACAGTGGCACCGGAAAGATTATTCCGGGAAGATCATCAATTTCATCTTCTATATCGTCATCTTCCTCTTCGAAGTCATCAGATTTTTTTGACTCGCACCAAGTTATACAGCCTGGGAGATTATCGGTAGATGAAAACGCTCTTCGCCGGAGATCACCATTTTATCCGATGAAATTGGATTCTTCCACCGATAATTCAGAAATAAGTGATCTTGATTCTAGGAAAAACTCTCTAGCGTCATATATGTCACCCACACTGAGTTCTATGAACTCTGGATATGAAGTTTCATCGAAGTACATGAACCCATCAATAACATCCATGCATAATTCTCCCAAGAAATGTAGGCTTAAGACGACTATGAAAAGGGCAAATTCTGTGTCTTATCCACATGAATGGGATTCATCCCCATCGAGATCGGGATCATTATCACCGATATATCCATCATTTTCAAGCTCCAAGCCTCCTAGTTCATCCAAGGGTAAGAAGAATCTTCTGCATATGGGTTTGGATTTGATCAAGGGTAAGAAAGGAGGATCAAAGCTGCGTTCTTCCTCGTGTTCGGAATCAGGTAAAGATACAATAGAGGATATTCATCAGTTGAGATTGCTGCAGAATAGTTGGATGCAATGGAGGTATGCGAATGCTAGAGCACAAGTTGTTCATGATAACTTAGTTGTCCAATGTGAGGTATATATGTATGCCACTTCTTCATTAAAATCAATTTTATGTCGCCTTTAGTTTATTTGACAATTGACCTTCAAATTCAATCATTATAAAACATAAAATATATGAGGATAGATTGTCGAGAATGTATGTTCTATAGATACAGACTCCTTTTTAATCAAAATATACTTTTATTGCAGAATGATTTGTTATATACAAGGGAGAGTATGGAAAAGTTGCGACAATCAGTGGTACAAAAGAGGTTACAACTACAAAAAGAAAAGCTAGAAATGAAGCTTAATTTGATCCTACATTCTCAAGTCAGTAATCTTTCTATTACCTATATACAACATAATTTGATAAAGTATACATTTTAGATTCATTTATTCATGATCAACGACTATTTGCTAGACAAAAATGTTAGAGGCATGGGGAAACATTGAAAGGGGACACATTGTGAATGTTTCCATGATGAAAGACTATTTACACGCCGTTGTTTGCAGGATACCCCTTATTGAAGGAGCCAAGGTAACAAATCCTTTAGTTTAACAAAAAAACCATATATATGATTCATAAAGTAAATATTAATATGTGCAAGGTTTTTGTATAGGTGGATCTTGAATCAGCTTCAATCGCTTTTCAATACACATCAGATTTGGTTGACACAATCAAGTCCGTTTTATCTTCAATTTCGCCCATGGTAAGCTATTCCTAGATGCTAATGTACTCTTTCATATCTATTATTAATGTGTGTCGTGGTACTATTTTTTGTGTACAAAGTGCATATAATATTATCTCTTTGTTACTGTTGTAAATTAATGACACAGGCACCTAACACCATCATCACACTATCAGAGCTAGTAGAGATTGTAACCCTGGAGAAGTCATTGCTACAAGAATGTTTAGAGCATTTAAGAGTCATTTCGATATTAGAGGTAAGAGATATAATCAATTTCTTGGTTATTTATGAGTTATGACTCTCACTATTTAATTATTTGATCATGAGGTGACATGTTTTGATTAAATTTATTATTGTCTAATATGATTAAACAGATCCAAGAGAGGGATCTAAGGTGTAACCTTATTACAATGGATTCGTTAAAAGAGCAGCAACAATAACAACAAATTAACCGCTATGTAAGCCCCAAGACTTACAAACACAAATAATGATCTTAACAATTGGAAGCCTAGCTAGCTCAGATGTTGGAATTTGTACATGATGAACCAAATAAACACTTAGAGTTTGAATTTTATACTTATGTATCACTTTCGATATTTCAAAAGCTACTATATATAAAACCAATAAGCAGTATATTTTATTGTTCTATACAGATAACAATATAATAATAGTGGAGTAGCAATTAAAAGTTCCTTTTCACTCTTTAATTTATGTAACTGAACCAGACATGCACAAATACCATCCAACATATGATGTGCATCCAAAGAAAACTCGACATCATTTGTAAATGGCGAGATTAATTAGTTTTAATATTTTGACATTTTACTTTGGAAACTCTATCTAGTATCCTGTTCTTATTCATTATTGGACAGAACATCTCAAGATTGATTTACATTCTGTGACATGGTTCTTGTTCAAATTTTAGTTGTTTATTATGTTCAACCACTCATCTGGTTGCTGAAATTTTCTTCAAAGGACTATTAGTAATTAATTTCGCTTTTAAAATTTATACGATCCAAGTTACATGTTTGATTGTGCTGTTAGATATATATAATATCACATTATTGATGAAGGTAGTCACCACAATCGATCCTTAATGTTCCATAAATAAAGAATTTGAAAGCGCTAGCTAGTGCTACCCATGTTCTTTGTTGATCACCCGGCGCATAGTAGTAGGCATAAAATCAAGAACATGCTCTCTATAAAAACAATTAAGATTTTATACCATTAGTTGTTTTCTAAAAATTTAAAAAAAAAAAAAAAAACATACTTGTTTTTAATATAATTAATTTTTAATTTTTAACTTTTAATTACATATGTTACTCGCATAATTTCTGCTTAACTTAACTTTGATCGAATTAGCAACACAATGTATGATTTGAGAAATTATGAGAACCATATTTAACAAAATAAATGATGAATTGATGACACATCTCAATCATTTTTTTTAACGGACATCTCAATCGTTATTAATGGTTTATATTATAAGTAATTTTGATTAAAAAATAACATAAAAATCAGACTAATAGTTTATGTATTTTTCGGCACAATATTTTGAACGCCAATTATACGCAAAAAAAAACATATGCATTGACTTTGCAAAACTTAATGGCTCTCCAATATCTCAATCGCAACATGACATCATTTATTCTTCCTTCATTAATATTGCTTAAAGATCTCTTCATTAAAGAGGAGAAACTATACCCAAAATCCCACCTCTCAAACTCTTTTTTCAGACAACATGAACGATTTATTTTCTAATTCGTTTAAGCAATATCTAGACTTAAAGAAACAAGCATACCTTGACGACATAGAGGGTGGGCAGGGTGGGGGTGGTGTCCAAAATGAAACAGTTGATCTTGACAAGTTCTTCCACGACGTCGAGAATGTGAAACAAGACATGATGATTGTTGAAAATCTCTACAAAAAGCTACAAGATTCAAATAAAGAGAGCAAGACGATCCAAAATGCCAGTAAGATGAAGCAGCTCAGATCCAAGATGGATTCAGATTTCACACAAGTGTTAAAGCATGCAAAAAACATCAAGGGAAAGCTAGAAGCTCTTGAAAAGTCTAACCTTGAACACCGGAAAATCGCAGGTTGTGGACCTGGGTCGTCGGCTGACCGGACCCGGACATCCGTCGTCGGTGGTCTGGGTAAGAAGCTCAAGATCATGATGGATGACTTTCAGGCATTACGAGTTCAAATCAACGATGAGTACAAGGAGACTATGGGGAGAAGATATTTCACCATCACCGGTGAGAAACCCAATGACGAGTTAATTGATAGCTTGATAGCTAGTGGAAAAGCTGAAGATTTTGTTCAGAAAGCAATCCAGGAACAGGGTCGAGGTCAAATCGTGGACACGATCTCCGAAATCCAAGAAAGACACGATGCAATTATGGAAATAGAGAAGAATCTGATCGAACTACACCAGATCTTCTTGGACATGGCTGTGTTAGTTGAGGCTCAAGGACAACAACTGAACGACATCGAGAGTCATGTGGCCCATGCAAGTTCATTTGTCCGACGTGGGATAGATCAACTGGTGGAAACAAAAGACTTGCAAAAGAGCTCCAGAAAATGTACTTGTATTGCCATCGGTCTCATCCTTAGTATCGTTTTCGTTTTCATTTTGTTTTGTTCGCTTCAGTTATCAAGATTCTAACATTTATAAGTTTTTTATTTGAATGTTTTGTTTATTTTCCTCTCTTTGAGGTAATATTTTTTAATTTTTTATCCAATTTTTTGTTTTCAAAATCTTGGCTAATGGTATTGCTTTTTAGATTTGAAATCTTATGCAGAACTGAATAGAAAGAAACATATTATTTACACAAAAATCTTTAAACTAATTTTGTATTTTCCTATATATATTTTCTCAATCAATGACTTTTTGTATGTTTTTTATATTTGTATGTTATTCAAATGATTTGTCTCTTTTATATTAATAAAAACAATTATTCAACCACCAATTATTTGACGTTCATATATTATACCAAATTTGAATACTTAATAATCATACAAGTTATAAAAATAAAAATCTATATAAAATTTTATATTACTATAATTTTACAAGCATTTCTTATTATCTTGATTTTAGTTTCATTTCCTTTTTAATTTTGTTTTAAACTATATATAAGTTCACCACCTAATATAGGGAAATCTCCGTAAAGTCCCAATATTTTACCCTAATTTACGAAAAAGTTCCAAACTAAAATTTGTTTACGAAAAAGTCCCAATTACCGGTAAAACGACGATTTAGCCCTATTTTCCCGATTTACCGGTTTCATTAATTACCGGGTTTTAATAAAGACCCATTATTCTACCATAGTTTACGAATAAGTCCCAAATTATGGTAAAATAATGAGACTTTAATGAAAATTATGGTAAAATAATGGGACTATAATGAAACCGGGTAAGTATTGAAACCGACAAACCGGAAAAAAAGGGTCAAATCGTCATTTTTTTTCCGGTAATCGGGACTTTTTCATAAACCAATTTTAGTTTGAGATTTTTTCGTAAATTAGGGTGAAATATTAGGACTTTTCCGAAGATTTCCTCCTAATATATAACTAATATATATTTGGGATAATGTCACTGAAACTATAAACTTTTATGAATTGATTTAATAGGTCCAAAGAGTTTTTTTTTTTTTTTATTTTAATATGAAGTTATGGAGGCATAAAGTTATGTTGACCTGCTAAAAATGGTATTACTTTTTTTTTTTGTCTGGATTCATAGTTAAAACCTTCTTTCTCCGCTCTATGTAGGTCAAGAACATGTTTCTTCCCTTTTCAGAATAGATCTCAGATATACCTTAAAAAAATGGAGACCTACCCCTCAATCGATGAATCAATCATCTCATTTTTTCTTCAGATCAATCACACATCAGCAACTTCTTGGTTCTTGGTTGCTGGTCGAAATCAAAGAATAGAAATTTGTTTCGTTTTCTCACCCATCTTCGTCTCTCACCCTCCTTGAAAGCTCACGGACGAATTCCTATTGACACTTACGTGCTGTTTGTTTTTTCTAAAAAACAACTTCTAACCACTTAATGTTGCGCCGCACAGCACACACGCAACACTTGACCATTCGCAGCTGTTTGTTTTTCAGAAGACTTCTAACTTAAAACTATTGCGCGTGTGCTGTGTAGTGCAACACTTGACCCTCTGCTTCAAACCTCTTCACACCTTACTTTAACTTATTGCAGCAGTCTGCAGAAGTTAAAAAACAAACAAACTTTTTGTTACATGTTGCAGCCGTTTGGTCCCCCTCTTCTGCTACAGAGGGTTGCAGAGATGGTCCGCAGACTTCAGACATTTTCGCTTCAAAAAAACAAATGTCACCTTACTTTTTTTTCGATTTGAAGTGATGGAGAAGGCGTTGGCTTGTGTAACATCCTCTTTCCAGGTATTCGTTTCTGAGTTTTAGCTATTTATTTTGTTTATTTGGCCTGCCCACGGCGTGGTATTAAGAGTGTGACGACATAGCACTCAATTGATGAGAAAACACACATCCGTAAATGGCCACGGCGTGGTGTTGTGTTTGCCACGACGTGGCAGTCGTTTGGGCCTAAAACCCTAAATCTCGGGGTTGGTGCCCTACTTAAGGACACTAAGGCCCTGTTTGTTTAGCTCTTATTGCCTCTTAATAAGAGGCAGGTCTGAAATTTTTAATTCAAAGCGTTTGTTTACCTCTCAATTTTGCATCTGAATCTGAAAAATAGGTCTGACTGAATAAGTGTTGGGAGGAAGTCTGAAAGAAAAATGGACACTCTTGCCCTCCCCCCTTACGCCAATACCTTTCCATCGCTTTCTCTCTTCCCAACCATTACAGATTCGCCATCATCGCCACATCCCACTGCCATCATCCTCCCTGCATTCCTCCGATCTTTCCCCGTCGTTGAGTTTTCTTCCCCAAATTTCTGAAATCGATTTTCTGAAATTGAGTTTTTGAAATCGATTTCTCCAATTTTGAAATTGAAATAGAAACCTGAAATCGTTTGAAATCGAGATTTGGAAGAGGTCGTCGGGAGTACAAACCCACTTTCGAAAGGTGGTGCGATCCGGAGTGAGGCTTTAATGGTGGCGACCCCTGCTAGTAATATTCACGTTGATGATGTTGGATCTCAAGGGGCTATTGGGTGAAATATTGTACTCGATTCTTTACACTTTTGGTGTAATGAGACAGATCATTTCTTCTCTGAACTCTCTCTCAAACTCAAGCTCTGTTAGAGTTTCGTTTTTTCATAGTTTTATACTCAATTTTTCTGATTTTACAAGATTATGTTGTGTAATCTTGCTAGCCATCACTTTTTTCATTCAATTTGTGATAAATGATTTTGTTGTAATGAGACAGATCGTTTATTCACTATACTGAATTCATAGTGGAAGTCAAAAAGGATTGTTGCATTTGATTTGGCTGAAGAGACATTCGGTGAGATTCCTCTTCCATATTTTTCAATAGATAGCAGAGAAAGATCTTTAGGAATAAAATGAAAGTTCTATGATGATGAAGCAAATGGAGGCAAAGAAAGAGTATGATCTC